TAATTAATATTTTATGTAAAACTTATATATAAATGGATCTTCCTTTCATTAACTAATGGAGGACAATGTCACTGCCGCGTTATACTGGGGATTTTGTTTCAAATTTATATTAACTGATTTTGTCATCTTTTGTTCTTTGATATTTTGAGCAATTAAAGCATTCTTTATTAGGAGAAAAATTTTACAAACATCACTTTAGTTAATTAACAATTTTGAAAAAAGAAATAGATTTATTTACAATTAAAAGCTCTATTTATTTTTCCTTAATCGTGGACTTTTTATTTTTTTATATTTGAATTAAGCAGATGAACATTTAATTGTAATTTTTGGCTTATCCTCTTTGATTGTTCTCAGGTATTATCTTGTTGGTTAGCAAGAGTGCTTTGTGTTTAGGGAGCACTTGGATAATAGCAGAGGGTGTTTGGTTGTTTGCAGTAGAAGGATTCTCAAGAAAATAAAGTAATTCTCAAATTCCTATCTGTTGCCTTCTTCCCCAATTTTCCTTAGATCTCTCTATCTCAATTTTTTTTTTTTCAATTCTTCTACGATGGTTTATCTTAACAACAAAAATAAAACAAACAACATAAAATTTACCATTCATTAGATTCAAGAAAAGTATCAAAATTTTCATTTCCATGTACTATATATTATTTTATATTATAGTTGACTAAATTATTTGTCACTTTTAAATAGTTGCCAATGTTAGAAAGGATTTTTTTTTTAATCAATAAAATTAATATATTATTAAAAAGTATAAGAAATATTCTATCACAAAAGTATATAATCATAAATAGTCTTGAAACAACAATTTTATAAATAAATTAACTAGTAAAATGTCATTAAATAAAACCAAACAATAAAATGAACTTGCAATAAATATAGGTTTCGTTTAACAATACTTCTCGATACTTTATTATTTAGTTTTTATATCTTTTTATTATTTAAAAAATATATAAAATATTAATTAAAATAAATATTAAATATATTTTATATATTTTTAGAATGTTAAAGAACTAAAAAAATCTACAGTTGTAATTACATATTAACATTGTCTAACTAAGCCATAATCTGCCCTAAGATACAATATAAAGATATGTAAGTGGGGTGTTACATCTCATTTATTGGACTCTTCTTCAATGTATCCCTTCCTATATTTCCAACAATCTCCTTTCATTGAAGCAAGATCTCTACGAACCCTTTGACACCCCACCCCTCCTATTTTTTTTGTCAAAATAGATGGTAAAAAACATGCAGTATGCGATTAGAATATTAACAATATTTCAACAATTAGGTAACAAATATTGCTCACCCGCTGTGGAGGACTGGCAGGGGCCTCGGCGGGTTGAAGGTACCCTTTCCAAGGCATGGAGGTGGAAGCGAGAAGTGGGGAAGGAAGTTTTTGATGAAAACCTCTCGGTATTGATGAACTAAAAAGAAAAAAAATTATCACAATTTGAAATCAAATTTACAAACGAAAATGATGAAATTTCATGAGATGGATCACAATTTAAAATTGAATTTAACAAAAACAAATATTGAAATCTCATTTGTGATAATCTAATTGAAGACATTTGGATTGGACTGAAATTCAATGCTAGTGATATCTTTTTAACTTGAAATTAAATTTTGAAAGTTTTGGTTATATTTCAAAATAATTGTTATTTTTTATTTTAAATTTATCCTAAATTAATTGTTTTTTTTTTTATTTTTTAAGGTAAACAACAAAAATTTTTTCTACTACTTTAACTCTATTATTATATATTTATTTTAATTAATTATTTAAT